TTCTCACTAGCAAGTAAGTCCACATGAAATGTTGGAAAGAAATGGACTTTGAGAAATAACTGAAGTTCTATTCCTGGCTTTGCTAGTAACATGTTGGGTGACTTTCGTAAAATTGTTTAACTTATTTAAACCTTACTTTCTTCATCTGTGAATTGGAGATAATAAAGCTAATGACATAGGGATTTTGTTGAGAACAAATTATTTTATATACACATTCACATGAAGCATAGCATTACTTATCCTTGAATCTATTCATTCAACCAATGTTTATTAAGAACCTACTATATGCTAGACATTGATATACCTTAGAGGTATAGTGTTGAGAAAAAGACATCCTGTAAGACATTTATAGTTTAGCTGAGGGGGAGAGACTTTAATCTTAAATAATAATTGTGAATATTAATATACAATTTGTGGTAAGTGCCCTGAAAGAGAGGTAGTCAGGGACAGTCTCCCTAAGGAAATAGCCTATTGTAAGAATCTGAAATTTCTACTGTAGTAGGAAGGGAAGAATGAAGGGGGGAAAATCGGAGGGGAGACAAACCATGAAAGACTATGGACTCTGAGAAACTGAGGGTTCTAGAGGGGAGGAGGGTGGGGGGATGGGTTAGCCTGGTGATGGGTATTAAAGAGGGCACGTACTGAATGGAGCACTGGGTGTTATACGCAAACAATGAATCATGGAACACTACATCAAAAACTAATGATGTAATGTATGGTGATTAACATAATAAAATAAAATTTTAAAAAAAGAATCTGAAATTTCAATAGGCAGTGACTCCATCAAGAGGTCAGGAGGGGAATTAGATAATGATGTTGTATATGCTCTTCTCTTTGGGTGGGAAGGAGCAGGTGTTGTTGGAGAGTCAAAAAAAAGCCAGGGCAGTTGGAGCAGAGAGAAGACAGGAGGGAGTGGTAATGGGTGACAGTGGAGAGGGCCACTGTCAAGGACCACATTTAGGTGATAGACCTTGGGCACCATCCCAAGAGCAATGGAAAGCCATTTAAGGGTGTTTAGCAGTGGAACAACATCACTCTGGCTGCTTTGTAGAGTTGGAGTGGGTTAAGTGGGTTTAGGAGACTATTGCAGAAGCCTGGGCTAGTCATGACCATAACTGGAGTTAGTGTTATAGCTTGCTTGGAGATGGAGAGAAATGTAAACATTTGAGAAGACATATCTGCATTTTCTTGCTAAATTCTTTGATTAAATAGCTTCAACCTGAATTGTTTTTACATAGGTTGGGTTTGTGTGTGTGTGTATCAATCTAGCATCATAAAATCTTGAGAGTTGGGAGAGATGTCAGATTCTTGAGTATGTAACTCTCATAGAGAAAGAGATGGAATTATAACCTGCTGAGATTTGCACAACAATAGCCTACCTTATCCATGCATTTGTTGAGTAGAAATAAGAAGATACTATCTATGTAGATATATGTAGACTTTACAGTATGTCAGCCACTTTGCATATATTAACTAATTTAATTCTCACAGCAAACCTATCAGGCAGGTGCTATTATTGCACATATTATAGTTGAGACATAAATGGAGACACACACAGCTGACTAATTTCTAACAAATAAATGGTAGAGCTGGGATTTGAACGCACGTATTTGTCTTCAGATTCATTTGGCCAACCCCAGTGGCAAACTATGACTCTTAGGCCAAATCTGACCCACTGTTTTTGTAAAGACAGCCAGAAAATTAATAATTAAAAAAAATTTTTTTTAAGTGTTTAAAAAAATATAAAGAATCATGACAGAGATTATATGTGGTCCATAAAGCCTAAGATACTTGCTTTTTGGCCTTGTACAGTGAAAGTTTCTAGCCCCTGCACTATGCTAACCATTACTAAGAAGATATGATATGTTCCTTCAGTAGAAAGTTGAGAGTCACAGATCTTTATAGATAAAGGACATATCTGGTCATAAAATGAGTTAGTTGCAGAGTGAGAATAGCATACTTATAGTTCCTGTTTTAGAATTATTTTTCTTGATATCTGCAAATTTAAAATTGAGGACTGGTTTGACTTTGTGTGGAGAAAGTTTCTTGGAAAGATAAATTTATCCTTCCCGTAGTAGGATCAAAGGTAGCTGGGCTATTGCTGAGTTACTTAATGTGATGACTGTCATTAAGACAATGAATTTCAGATGAATTTTGTGTGCTGCTTTAGCATTTGGAGATGGTATATTACACAAAACTTTCTATTTTGAACCCATGGTTTGCTTTTGAAAAGGAAAATTAGGTCAGTACTAAATATTGATAATTTTGCTCTTATAGCAACAACTGTTTGGAGAAAGAAGAATGCCTCTTTAACAATGCGTTTCTCCTGCCCTCAGAACTGCATTAATAAGAGAGAATATAGCATATTTTTGGCCTTTCTAGATAAATTGACTTCTTCCTTTTTGAGAAATTCTGATATTCATCTGAATTTTATAGAGAGGTATATATTTAGCCGCTTAAGTATTTATTAAATCTTACTATAATGATAGGCATTTGGGGGGATTGTAAAGATGATTACAGAAGTTTTTGTTTGTTTTTTGCTATGGTGTGAATTTTCATTGATAAGTGGTGGTTCTAATCTACCACACTTTATAGATGTGTTACATGTTTCTTCCTCATGCAAACTGTATTAATCTATTTTATAATAGGGCCAGACAGTGGCAATAGAGGTTACATTTGGTCACAGTTAAGCTTCCATTTACCTTTTGACACCATTATAGATCGGTTTTGGTAATGGTTGATGCGTGCCTCTTATTCAAGCCCATTTCCTTCCTCTGTCATCTCACATTATCATTTTGGTTGTGGTGGGTGGATTGAGTGAAGTACTAATAGTAGTTGTTTAAATTACAATTTTTTTTTTTTTGGTTAGAATATTTCTGCTATTTCATCCTTCTTTTTACTTATTTAGACTATTTAAAGTTTTATATTGAATATTTTTCTGTAATTTTTCTGATTGGAAGGTTAGGGATTGTGCATAAAGTTCAACTCTCTTTTAATTGTAGGAATTTCCAAACATATAGAAAAGGAATCCAGTTTTAACAGTCATCACATATGGCCAGTCTTGTTTAATCTTTTATCTTCCTCCTTCATTGCCTCCTCTCAACCTCAGACAATTTTAAAAGAAACTGTAAATACTGTATATTATTTCATTGGGTAAATACTTAAATATGTGTCTCTAAATTATAAGGACTCTTTAAAAAATCAATGCCATTAGCACAATAAAAAATTAACAGTTTCCTATATCAACAAATATCCAATTAGTGTTCAAATTTCCCTAATTTTCTCAAAAATACCTTTCTGCAGTTAGTTTTTCAAATCAGGATCCAACTAAACTCCATGATTTACATTTGGTTGAATTATCTCTTAATTCTGTTAATATACTACATCAGTTTCCCTTCCATTCTTTTTCCCTTTTGCCACTGATTCGTTAGGTCAGTTGTGAAATCAAGTATGTATCAAATTTAGGTTAAAGTTTTGACAAGGATACTTCATAAATGGTGACCAAGTTAGACTCTTGAATTGGTTGGTGAAACTTATGAGCAGTACATGTCAACACTTTCTTCTTTTATTGCCCCCAATTGAGTAAGATTTATTTCTCATCATAGTAATGATATTGAATAGCAGGTAAGAGGAAACAGATACTTATACATAATGCTATTAAACATACCTTTAACAAAGTTACTAATTCACTATTTTGTTTTGTTTTGTTTTTGTAATTAGCAACAATAGTAAAACAACAGGAATCCTTATTTGGCATAAGACTGCCAGACATAGTCAGATTACACATTTTTAATTTTGCCTTCTGAGTCATTGGGTTAGGTGACGTTTCTGTCTACTTAGTGGTCTGGCCAACATTACTTTTCCTATTAAGGATGTTAAAATCCTTGTTGTTAATTTTATACCGAAAATAGTGTCAAAATCCATCTAATCAGAATCTAAGCTTGTAGATAATTTTTATGATTTATGTATAAAATATTTATAAAAATCTGGTATTCTCTTTCAAAATTTATTGTGAATGGTAATATGTCACATTTTCTCAATCAGTTAAGCCTTGTTTAAACTTTACAAATGAAATTTTTTTTTAAAAAAAGAATAGTTAATTGAAAAAGTACTCTTAAAATATATTGATTTGGGGCCTGACAACTTTATGAAAATAACTTATTTTTCTTTGACTATTTATTTCTCATAATGGTGAAAATTATATGAAATATACCTTTTTCCAGAAAAAAAAAACTAAGAATGTTGATATTTATCTCTATGGAAATGTTTTCCTTTTTTTGGTTGACTAATGAATGTTTGAATCTGTTATTTCTTCATGTGTATTGCATCTATATATGTTATTGTTTTATTTATTTAAAAAATTTCATGGAAAATTGATTTATATTAAATTATTTCTAATTAAATTCTGTAATGCACTAATGCTATTTCTAATAATTGCCTATTGCTTAGCAGACATTTATGAATTTATGGATTTTTTGTTATTGGTAAAGGGCAAGTGAGGATCAAACAATACAGCTCAGTGCCTAGAATGTTGAAATGATGTTAACTTCTGCTTTCTTTGTCCATGGGTCCTTCTATGTCCTATGGTTGAAAGAAGTGTCCCAGCACTTTTGATATCTACTAATGTACTTGTTTCCTCTATGCATTTTCCAACGTGCCTTTTTCTGATACGGTTTCCTCTTAATAGCTTTTATGGATATTTTAAAATGATTCCTTAAATCTACCTCCTCCTACTGAGAAGTGGTTTTATGTTGGATAGAAAATAATCATCCATTATAAAATGGCAACTAAAGCTGTGTATTTACTAGAGCAGTGCTGATTTTGGTTCCTTTATTTGTTAAAAAAATGATGCACTGATGGTGATGTAAATGTTGCTATGGATTTTAAGACTTCATTACAAAAATTAACAGGAGGTAGGCGGGTGGGTTTAGTGAGAGTGGAAAGTGGGAACATTTAACCTCTTGGTAAACCATCTTATGCTAGTCCCTCTGTCTTTGCAGATAAATTATTAGTCATAACGGTAGCAACAAAAGAAAGTGATGGATTCCATCGATTTATGCAGTCTGCCAAATACTTCAATTATACTGTGAAGGTACAGTATATCTTTTAATTCATGGAGGTGTTAGAATATGTGACTAAAGTACATTTTTTTAATAACAATAACAACAATACCACCACCACAGTTCGCAACCCACACAAGGGAGTTGAAATTTGGTTACATAGTTACTGAGTTTGTATATACAATTGATTGTTTTAAGGGTACATTTTGACCTTATTAATACTCTGCCACTTAGACAATAATTTCTTCATATTTGCTAATGCTTTGTATAAACACATTCCATAAAACAACAGAAAAATATGTTTATATATATGCTTCTTTTGAAGGGTCATAAAAAGCACAACATAACAGATTTGACAGTAATGTTTTTCACTTACTTTGAAGAATTTTTTCTGTAATGGGTTTGTCTGTCATAGTCTGTTTCTTCGCTTACAGAGAATTGGAAACATGGCAGTGAGGGGAATACCTTTTCTGTCCCAGTATTGAGAGTTGCTCTTCCTGTTATTTGTTTTAGAGGAATTTGGGAACATTATAAAAGTATAAAAAGGTTTTTTAGAAGACTGACCTCCAGGGGAATATCTCATTGATAAATGATCAGAGGAAACCTGGGGACTTGGTAGAATTAGTAAACTGAGTGTTAAAGGCCTGCCTTATTTATTTATTTATTTATTTATTTATTTATTTATTTATTTATTTATTTATTTATTTATTTAATAGAAATGAGGAACTGTCAGCCAAGTCTTTTACACAAATAAGAGGTGTATGGGGAGGTATCCCAAGTAGGAAAACAAACAAACCAACAAACAAACTGAACATTTACAAAAAAAAACTACCCCCCCTCAAAAAAAACCCAAACCAACCAAACAAAAAACAACTTAAAAAAAAAAAGAGGGGAAGACTGTTTTGCTTAGGGAAAAACTGAGCTGTTCTAGTATGTAATGTAGAAAGAAGGTAGTATTCACTTACATAGCCCCTTGGAGACTAGGTACAGATGTTAATATAGAACAGCTATTAAAGAGGCTAAACTGTGCTGGAAAAGAGATCTAGTGTTAACAACCAGATGTTCAATGTAGGATAAATGAGAAATATGTTAGAAGTTTGTTAGGATAGAGGAAAAATATAGTAATATGTACTGATAGGAGGCATGTGGAGGTAACAGAGAAATCAGGGTAAAATAATGCTGAATAATGCTGAAATCTAATAAGAGGGGATCTTTAGAGTTTGGACTGGGGAGAGTGTGGGATGTTCCTTATATGTGAAGCTGTTTGGAATTTTATATATTGTATGCTGTTGAAACCATATATGTTAGATATTACTTTGTTTCTAGGTAAAGAAAACTTGCCCCAGGGTATATAGCTATGAAATGTCAAATCTTGGACCAAGCCCATTTGAGTGACTCTTGCTGTCTTCCCAATTATGAAATGCAATAGTTCTTAAAGTGTGGGCCCCAGACCACCAGCATCAGCATCATCTGGGGAATTGTTAGAAAGGAGATTCTCAAGCCTGACATCAGACCTACTGAATCACAAACTCTGGCAGTAGGACCCTGCCAGACACAGTAGGACCCTGTATTTTTTTAAACATTTATTAGAGAGAGCACGAATGGGAGGAGCACAGGGAGAATCTCAAGCACACTCTTCACTGAGCACAGAGTCTGTTGTGGGGCTCAATCCCAGGACCCTGAGATCATGACCTGAGCTGAAACCAAGAGTCAGACACCTAACAGATTGTGCCACCCAGGCAGCCCAATGCAGTCTGTGTTTTAACAGACCCTCTACGTGATTCTGATGCATACTAAAGTTTGACACACTGATGGAGTGGAAAGAAAATAGAGAATAGAGCTTAGCATGCTGTACTGCACAGAGTAGGCTCTTGGATGTGGCTGAGTCTGGTATTACTGTGATATTGGAAAAATCCAGAAGGGTTTTGGAGTCGAAGTATTACAAATCACAGGGTCAGAGGAGGCCAGTTTTTAGGGCAAAAACTAATAATTCTACTAAATTAATAATTCTCCTAGACTAGCCCCAGAATGAATCCAGATACACATCAGTTTTGAGTTTTCTTGGTAGCGTTTATCCCCAATCTGCAGTAGAGGTGGTAATAAAGTAATAACTAGAGAATCTGAGGCTAGGAGCCCCGTGGGCTTTGCTAGCCAGGTTTATATTTGGTTCAGTGTTTAGTGATGTTGGAGCTAATAGTATTTATTTTCTACTAAGCAACAAAACTAAAAGGCAACCTACTGAGTGGGAGAAGATATTTGCAAATGATATATCTGATAAAGGGTGAGTATCCAAAATATATAAAGAACTGATACAACTCAATACCCAAAAAAACAAATAATCCAATATAAAAAATAGGCAGAAGACAAGAACAGACATTTCTCCAAAGAAGGCATCCAGATGGCCAACAGACACATGAAAAGATGCTCAGCATCACTCATTATCAGGGAAATGCAAATCAAAACTACAATGAGGTATCACATCATACCTGTCAGAATGGCAAAAATCAAAAACACAAGGAACAGGAAGTGTTGGCAAGGATGTGGAGAAAAAGGAAGCCTCTTGTACTGTTGGTGGGAATGTAAACTGGTGCAGCCACTGTGAACAGTATGGAGGTTCCTCAGAAAATTAAGACTAGAACTACCCTACGACCCAGTAATTGCACTACTGGATTTTTACCCCCAAAGTACAAAAACACTAATTCAAGGGATACATGCCTCTCTATGTTTATAGCAGCATTATCTACAATCACCAAACTATGGAAGCAGCCTAGTGTTACCATGCACTTGCAATGTGGGAGGCAACTGAGGAGCCTAAGGCAAACAGTGAGGAGAACACCTATAAGTTTAGCTTTGATTAATTGTGCTTAGGCAATTTCTTGCATTGATAAATTATTATTAAGCTATTGAGAGTAATGTAAGATTTATAAGGTAAAGTAGGTGACATTTGACCTAATGTTCTCTGTCTTTCCTTGAACAACCCACTTGGTTCAGTAGGAAAATCACCTAAGGGCCCTGTCCAGGAGTTACTGAGCTTTCAGTGTTCATCATGCAGATTTCCTGCCAGATTGAAAAGTTATGGAAAGTTTCTGTATTTTCTTTTTCATTTTATCTGAACAAATAGAAATAAGATATGAGAAATATTGTCTGTACCCCCCCCCATACCCCTTGATCTCCTTAGATTAGACTCTACTTTTGAAATGGTAAAATTGGGAATGGCATTTTATGGGGTGGATAACATTGAAGAATCATGACCTGACCTATGCATCAAGTGTTTTTCTCTGTAGCATCGTGATTTCGTGATTTAGTGAAATGTTTAAAGAGTGGATACTGTGTCATACTATACAAGTTGCTGATGACTTCTAGCTTTTATGATACTGTCATAACTTGAGTTTTGCTCAGTGATAAATGTTGATTTCATTTATAGGTCCTTGGTCAAGGAGAAGAGTGGAGAGGTGGTGCTGGAATTAATAGTATTGGAGGGGGCCAGAAAGTGAGATTAATGAAAGAAATCATGGAACATTATGCCAATCAAGAGGATTTGGTTGTTTTGTTTACTGAATGGTAAGAGAAATAATTTATGGATTTTTAAGTTTACATTAAATTATTTTTTAAAAGTGTCAAAATTCATATTTGCAGATTATATATTAAATTATTTTATTCTCAAGGAATTACTGTTTTAGAAAGTAGATTTTACTCATAATTATAAAACTGTGGTTTGACATAATTATGTAATGGATTGAATCTGATGATTTACTGTAAGCAACAATGAGAAAACATGGCATGAGCTAGCATTTTTGTGAAATTCATGTTTTAATTCTAACTTGAGTTGGAAGAAAGGTCATGTTGAGCTTTTCTATTGAGGAAAGTAATTCAGTGGATCCTGGTCAACCAGAAAGAAACAGATCGTGAGAAGTTATAAGTGAGACATGAGAAAGCCTATTTTTTAAAAAGAAAAGCCTTTCTCATGTGTGAATATCTTTTTTTGTATATTGTTTTACTTTCCTTCTACTTAATTTTGAGTGTCCACTGTCCTTTTTTACCTTCTTTCAGCAAGTTTTTATAATGTCAGGTTATCATGAGTCATTAGGGGTTGCTACCTTGTCTTCCATTTTTTCTACCTTTTTATTTTTTGTCCTTGATTGCTCATTTCAAATCTTGTGCTTTCCTCTTAACTTCAGAAAGATTACTTATATTTTTCTTCCTCAATTTGAAAATCCAACACCATAAATTACTGTAGATAAAAGTAAGGGTAATGCTTTTTATGCAAGTATATAAGTAAGAAAGGCATAAATTTTGAAATGAAAATAGACATAATGAAGTCCTGGTGCCATCAACCATTAAAAGTTGAGAGGGTCTGTATACTTGCTTCTTTAGAATTTCCCTAATGTCTCCCAGGAAAGAAATAAAGTTCTGCTTATAGCTAACCTGTTCTTGAACATGAAATGTGGGATAGCTGTTGTCAGCTTGTGTACCAGGGATTTTTCTGCAGAATCTATTATTATATATTTTTTTATCCTTGAAAAAAGAGTGGGAAGCTCATAATAACTGTTCAGATTAAATATTGAGTATGTTTTGGTTTAAAATTACCGTGGATTTCAAACAACCATTTTGGTCAGCTTGAACTTGCCACACATACGTTTTGATTTTGACTTTGAGGGAAATTCTCCTTGTAAAAGTTACCACATATATGCCAGTAATGGTTTTAGACACCCAAGCCTCCTTTTGTGTTTTCAGAAGAACCTCTTAACCTCTACCTTTACCCTCTTGCCCCATTCCACCTCCCCCACCCCCAATCTAAGATTTAGCCTTAGGAGAAACTGATTTAATTAGATGCCAGTTGTTTCTCTCTCTTTTTTTTTTTAAAGATTTTATTTATTTATTTGAAAGAGAGAGAATGAGAGAGAGCACATGAGAGGGGGGAAGGTCAGAGGGAGAAGCAGACTCCCCGCCAAGCAGGGAGCCCGACGCAGGACTCGATCCAGGGACTCCAGGATCATGACCTGAGCCGAAGGCAGTTGCTTAACCAACTGAGCCACCTAGGCGCCCCGCCAGTTGTTTCTCTTAAGAAAAGGGACACTTTGAGATATCTGAAAACTGCTTGAGGTTGCATTTGTTTATTTAGATGATATGTTAAGATCCAGCTTGACAAAAAAGACAACAGTAAGATTTATATGAGGGGGGAGAGGGGCAGAGGGCGAGGAAAAGAGAGTCTTTTTTAAAGATTTTATTTATTTATTTGAGAGAGCGAGTGCGAGAGCACAAGCAGGAGGAGAGGGAGAGGGAGAAGCAGACTCCCCGCTGAGCAGGGAGCCCGATCTAATTATTATTATATAGTAAACAGGTTTTTTTTCTTTCTTTAGAATAATGTATAGGCCAATATGTAACAGAAAGTGTTTTATTATGAGTAAATTAGATACAAATTGAATATCTCCACAAGCCTGTTCTGTACTAGATACAGTAATTTATAAACCAGCAGAGTCCAGACCCCAAAATAAGCATGTGGTAGAATGCTTTTTTTGGGTATCACATTAATGTCTAATAAAAACTTTGGTTATTTCTTTTATTCTTTTTCTTTTAGACTTAAGAAAATTCTTTAGAAGAAAAGTAATTAGAAATAAAGTTGGTATAAATATTTGAGTTTGAATTTGGACTGAGCAGAAATTTCTATTTTTTTGGTGATGTTGAATATAATGCCAATAATCAGAATGCAGATGTGCTACATTTTGAAAGACTCCCAGTATATGAAATATTTAAAAGAAATATTTGGTGCTGGTTATTGGCCTCACCAAAAAGTAGTATTTCCTCTATGAAAATATCTACCCAAGGATTTTGGTAGATAGAGACTCCTCAGTTCATTTAAGTATTTGTTTAAATATGATTAACTATATGACTTTGAGGTAAGATAAAGGAATTGACTTTGCAGTTTATAAGCTCTTGCTATCTAATGATAGCAGTAAGGAAGACTGAACTTAAAAAACTAGAATGGTAGTCAATGTTACAATACAAAAGTCGATATAGAATTAAAATGAATATAAAGTAAAGCCATTATTATAGTAGTTTTCTAGTTGGCTCTGGTCTGGGGGTATTGATCGAGGATAAGTAATACTGGTTGAAAACGCAGGAATAATCTTAGTTATACAAATCTTTTCTGTTAATGTATATGTCTTACCACTTGTATATTGCTAGCTTCCATTCACTTATCATGTTGGATTCCAATTGTCCTTATTCCTAGACAGTGAATCTGGGGGATGTACCTGATTTAAATATTGTCTGTGTAAATAGCAAGGTATCAATAAATATTAGGTAACAGAAACTTGCATTAAAAGAGCGAGAAATAGGGCGCCTGGGTGGCTCAGTTGGTTAAGCGACTGCCTTTGGCTCAGGTCATGATCCTGGAGTCCCGGGATCGAGTCCCGCATCGGGCTCCCTGCTCGGCGGGGAGTCTGCTTCTCCCTCTGACCCTCCCCCCTCTCATGTGCTCTCTCTCTCATTCTCTCTGTCTCAAATAAATAAATAAATAAAATCTTTAAAAAAAAAAAAAAAAAAGCGAGAAATAGATCTTACAAGAGGAGAAATATGGTGGATGTTTTGAAACTGTTTTTAATTTTGTTTTAAGATTTACTTATTTATTTTAGAGAGAGGGTAGGGGAGGAATGAAGAGGACAGCCCGAAGCAGAATCCCCGCTGAGTGCGGAGCCCAATGTGGGGCTCGATTCTACAACCCTGAGCCAAAACCAAGAGTCAGCGCTTAACTAACTGAACTACCCAAGTGCCCTGTAACTGTTTTTAAAAGATTGATTTTCTTCATTCATTTAGAGAAATAAAATGATTTATAAAAGTAGGAAAGCATCCAAATTTTCTAAATCTCAAAGATTGAAATCATTAGAAAAACGAATTTTGATTGTCAGAAGCCATGAAAATGATGCTTCTGATCTTCCAGATGTAGGCCAATGTTTCTTTTTTTGACTCCTAACTAAATATTATTTTGCTGAGAAAGTGAGATCAGTGGACAGATTTTTCGCTTTGCATTTGGTACACATGTCTTGAGCAAACCATGATCCAGGCATTAAACTTAACCCTTCAAAAGAAGAGATAAACATAGATCCCACACTCAAGGAATTCTCATATTATACTAATTTTGCAAATAAAACTGAACAGACCTAATTTGAAAGACATAATATGTCTTCAAAAAAGTTTGGATGTGGGCGCCTGGGTGGCTCAGTTGGTTAAGCGACTGCCTTCAGCTCAGGTCATGATCCTGGAGTCCCGGGATCGAGTCCCACATTGGGCTCCCTGCTTGGCAGGGAGTCTGCTTCTCCCTCTGACCCTCCCCCTCTCATGCTCTCTCTCTCTCTCTCATTCTCTCTCTCAAATAAATAAATAAAATCTTTAAAAAAAAAAAAAAGTTTGGATGTTAAAAAAAATTCGTATGTTGGCATAATCTCTTTAGAATCATTTACTTTTAGAAAATTGTCAAAGGTTATGTTTTACTGAATCGTTTTGGTAATTGTTTATAAAAATATTTTTATGATTTTATTGTTATTGTCATAAATATAATTTATGTGTATTCATTTTATAGATAACCAGATCCTATCTATTTTATTCCGTGAAATAAATATTTTATACCTTTCATAGTTCAGGTTACATACCCAGTATGCCTGCATTTTATGTTGTCTTATATAGTTTATACAGAAGACAGAATAAAAATTTTCTGAAAGCAAAGCTTTTCAAGTATGATGGCTATAATTTTAACCAACTATGGCAGATTTATTTGATGGACTCCTCCTTCCTGTCAGTGATGACAATTTAAGTGTGCAGACACAAAGAACCTATTCATTAGCAATGGACAACATTTCATTATATTAGTATGAAGGAAGGCCAAAATACATCAGAGTTCTTAGTTTCAGTATTGCTTTTTTCTTTTTTTCCTTTTTTGAAGGAAAGATTGAAATCCTTAGCTGTCAGTTAAATATATTGTACTGACTTCTGGCTCATCCAGAACAGTCTGAAATATGTTTAGGAATCATGTAGGAAATGAGTGACTTTTGTTTTTTTCAAATTGTTCAAATGTTCTTGTTAATATTTACTGAATATATTAGTGGGTATGTTGGAATGAGGAAGAAATAAATTGTATACAAAAGAAGCATTGGATGTATATATATGTATATGTGTATGTATTATCTATTTATCTGTAGATTGATATATGATACTCTTATATGGCATTACTTTGTCTGACTGTGTATGTATGTGTACAAATATATGTGTGTGTATATAATGTATAACATATATATATATATAATTTTTTTTCCAGACCACATTGCCTACTCCTTAAAGTTTGTTCTTTTGAGTAAACATGTATTAAGTATCTGTTATGTGCAAAATATGGTGCTAGCCCCTGTGGTTGGAACTGGAGTTGGGGAAAAGGGCTGAGTGGGACAGAAATCTTGCCCGCTGGATACGTTTTTCTATCCATAGCTCTGTGTATGTTGTATCTAGCATGTCGTAGCTGCATAATCACAAGTTTGGAGGATTTTTAAAAGTTTTTTTAATTCCCCCATTGA